CTGAGTCCGGGAGTGAAGACTGGCTTGTAGACCTCGCTGAGAGGCTTGGGCAGTGAGTGTGGTGGGAATCCATTGGCGGGTTCTGAGCAGGGAGTGTCGTCACCTGACTACGGGGTGGGATGGGAGACTTGTTTAGAGGCTCCTGCAGGTGATCCCGGGGAGACCACAGTGGCTGGGGCCAAGGCAGGCAGGTTCTGGCTGCGTTACTGTAGGTGATGGGGCTTGCTGATCAACCTCATGCAGGAGGAGTGAGCTAGAGGTGGGGGGGGGGGGGGGGAGTGTGTGGTGGGGGAGGCGACGCTGGAGGGGAGAGGAGGGAGAAAGGAGGAAGACTACCAGCCTTCTGATCAGAGCAGCTGGGTGACTGTCGGTACCATTCCTGAGAAGGGGAAGTGGGAGGAGGAACAGGTTTTGGGGGAGTTCAGAATGAATTTTTGGATGTGTCCAGTTGGCGAGGCATATTGAATGTCAGAGTGGGGATGTGCCAGGCTGGATATGTGAGTGTGAAGTCAGGGAAGAGGTCGGGCTGGAGAAACGGACACACGGTCTGAGGGTTGTGGATGGTATTGGTGGTTGAGGTGCTGGGTGGGATGGAGTTAGTGTTGGAGGAGAGACCTGAAGATTGAGTCCTGGGTTCAGCTTCCTGATAAATAGCCCATCAACCTTGGACTGTGGTTATTTGTGGACTTGTCATCTCTTATCCACTATATTTTAAGCTCCTTAAAGTTTGGGACCCTGTCTGATAAATATCTTTTTTTTTAGTCCCCTAATAGTGGGGAAACTAGCTGAACTAACAGCTGAGACCCATGGACTGGGAGTCCAGGGTTCAGGGTGCCCAGTGAGACCCTGCTTCCAGAGATTTTGAAGCCTTAGCTGAAAATCAGGTCTATCTTTTAATCACTACATGGTCTTGAAAAGGAAGTTCATTAAACATAAATATTTTAAAATTCCTGTGAGATAGACTGTACCTTTATTTTGGGAAAACAGCCAAATTGGCTGTTTATTGGTAAAGGATTTAGAGATATTTACATTTTCTACTATATCCCCAATCTTTAAGGTTCATTAAAAATCATTTAATAGACATTTTTGTAATGTTTTCCAATTTACAAAACAATTTTGCAAATGGCTGTTTCATTTAGTCCTCAGATTTTCTGATACAAGTAATGATCGAAATACCTAGTGTTTAGCATTTTATGATGCAAAACACTTTGATTTATGTGCATGATCTCATTTGATATCCACATTCTTACTATTCATTTCTGTGAGACTCACACTTTAGTAAAAACCGCCGTTCTCTGTATGTGACGTCCCAGCTCACATTTGTGTGTCTGTGTAGGTGTAATCTGAACATCACATACAGGCTCACATTTTCACATGGATGGATGTGTCATTTTCTATCTGGAACTTCCTTCCTGTCTTATCCCACTGAGGAATTTCTACTTACCCTTCACCCTGTGAGTAGACTTTGTACCTCTCTTAGAAGAAAATGAGGCCAAGATGAGTTTAGGGAAGAGTCCTAGGGGAACATGCCTGAACCGTTTGTTCCTCCAGTGTGTGGGCGGCCAGGTGTCCTGCTGGCCCTGTAGCGTTTAAACCACAGTTTGGTGGCCATGGCTCTGTCTTACTCAGCGGGCACCTCCCAAGTCTTGCATTGAGCCACCCAGAGTCCTCTTCTTTGGTATCTATGGTTCCATCCCTGAATGAAAAGAACACAACTTCCTAGAAGCAAACAAATGAACGTAAAAACAACCAGCCTCGGCCGGGCGCGGTGGCTCATGCCTGTAATCCCAGCACTTTGGGAGGCCGAAGCGGGCGGATCATGAGGTCAGGAGATCGAGACCATCCTGGCTAACACGGTGAAACCCCGTCTCTACTAAAATACAAAAAAAAAAAAATTAGCTGGGCGTGGTAGTGGGCGCCTGTAGTCCCAGCTACTCGGGAGGCTGAGGCAGGAGAATGGCGTGAACCCGGGAGGCGGAGCTTGCAGTGAGCCGAGATGGTGCCACTGCACTCCAGTCTGGGTGAGAGCGAGACTCTGTCTCAAAAACAAACAAACAAACAAACAAACAAACAAACAAAAACAACCAGCTTCATTCCTGCAAGGCCCCTGCTGCTGGAAGGAAAACCTGAAATGCGTTTGGCTTATGCGGAGACATTCCAGTTGAGTTTTTTCAGGTGCATTTTTTACCGTTACCCAGTTGCTGACAGCTCATTTTCTCCTCCATCCGCCTCCACCCCAAGCCATCAGCCCCACTCCTTGCCTTCCTCTGCCTGTTCCCGGCTCCATCATTCTGCTGGGCACCCAGAATCCCTGGACCCACGCTGGACACTGCACACATCTTCTCCCTCATCTGCCAGTTGCCAAGCCTTGGAGATTCTGAGCTGATTGATTTCTGCGTCTTCCTCGTCCCTAGCCAAGAACATAAGCACAATTTTATGTCCCTTGGCTCCCCTCAACAGCCCCTATCTCATGGCTGTGATTGAGAATTTGAAGTTTGGGTTATGATGAATATGTTTTCTTTGATCTTAACTTTTTTAAAAAATACAAAGCAAATTGGTCCTTATATTTGGTCACCTTTACTTCACACCATTCTCATAGCAACTCCTGGATTCGCTGTCCCTCTTGTTTAACCACGTCCGCTAAAAATGTTCTTGGCATGGGTCTGTGTGGCAAATCTCCCGAGGCCTTGTAAGCCTGAGGACATTTTTATCTCATCCCTTGTGTTTACCTGAGGCTCTGGCTGGCTTTAGTGTTCTTTCCTTCTACATTTTGAAAATATCAGCGTCTTTCCTGTCTGTGTTGCTGCCAAAAGGCCTCAGTCAGTCCTGTCCTGCCAGGCGGTGCGGCCAGGTCTTCCTCCCCAGTGCCTTGAGGATGCCGTCTGTGACCTTGGGTGTCACACCCAGGTGTCTGCCGGCGAGTTTTCCTGTAGTTTCTGTTCTTTGACATCCGTGGACTCTTTCACCTGTGGCTTGTCCTCTTTCCTCAATTCCGGGAAATTAGTTTTCATGATTTCTATACATATTTTCTCCTTCCACTCTTACTGTAACTTCCTTTTGGGATTCTTATCGCTGGTGTTGGCACGTCTGCTCACCCTCATTTCTTAGCTCTTCTTTTGCGGATCCTGTTTCTTTCTTCCTCCCTCCTTTCCTCTAAGGGTGTTCCTCAGTTTTACCTCCAAACAGCAGCTTGCACCTCCTCCATGTCCATTCTACGATTCACCCCTATTGTGATCTTTCTTTCCACGACTTGAGTTTCACATCAGTATTTCTACTTGCTTCTGTGTTATGGTTTCATATTCTTGTTTCATGCTGGGAATATCTGCCATCTCTTTGATATCATTTTGCATATTTGTGTGTGAATTCTTGGTTCGTCTGTTCCCACCCTTCAGAGCCTTGCTGTTTGGCCCCTGGGAGCAGTCGCTTTGGGGACACCCTCTCCTTAGGACCACCGTCAGTCCCCCACTTCCCTGGTGAGGCTTCTGCATGTTCCTGATTTACTCCTGGGGATTCTGGCACTGGATGTTCAAGTCCACCAGAGGGGACTGACTGTCCCCAGGTCCCGGCGGGAGGAGAACAGAATTCCAAGCATTGGGTTTATCATGGAAGCCTCTGTTCCAGGCGGGCCCCCAGGTGCAGCTCCGCCATGCCTCTCCCAGGTTCCCGTCTTGATGCCTCTAGGGTCAGTCTCAGGCAGCGGCTCTCGGGATGGGGTCCAGGAGCATCAGCAGTGTGTCAGCCGGGAGCTTGTTAGAAATGCCACACACAGGCCTTATCCAGGCCTCCTGAGCTGGGAGCTCTGCGGTGGGGCCCAGCACTCTGAAGCTAGCCTTCTGGGCAGCTCTGACGCCCAGCTCTGCGGAGGGATAGGTTCTGTAGATTCCTCCTTTCCATGCCCCCTGCATTTCTTCTCTTGTTCTGCTCCTGCATTTCCTGCCCTAATTCATTCCTTCATCTCAGGCTCTTGCAGAAGCTCTGAGCCTCCTCCCACAGGGGCAATTCTTCCTCAGTCACGTCCTGGCCACAGCTGCCCGCTCACTAGTGCTAAAACATAGCCCTTATCCTCTCTTCCTTGGAAATCTTCATTCCGATGCAATTAATGATAAATGCTCCTCCCCGGAATTCAAGGCCCTTTGGAAACCGCCCCTGTCCTGCGCATTCACGGCTGTGCCTGCACCTCACCCTCAGTGACTGTCAGCTCCCCTCCCCGCCCTGGCTTCTGACTTTGTGCACAGCACCCTCCTGCCGAGATGGCTTCATCCCGTCTGTAGTGATGAAATCCCACTCACCCTCCCGACCCCATTGCAAATTCCTCTAGCTCTGTGAAGCCTGCAACTGGGCTCAGCCTTTCTCCTCTTGGACCCCAACCGTTTGCACTTCTCTTGTCATATTTAGCTTTGTGGGCTTTTGCGTGCTTCTGTTTTATGGTTTCCTATGACTTTGGGGAGGTAGAGACTTTCTTATGCTTATTTTTATCAATGCATTGCCTACCTCGTCGTCTTATGCGTATGGAGGCTCAGCATTGAATTAATGGAATCATTTCTAAATAAACTAGTGAAGGAGTACCTGCCGAAAAGGATTACTGAGTAAAAAGGGGACTAATATTAGTCTTTTGGTGCTTATAAAAATGCATATTATTTGCTAATAAATCCTGGTTTGTTTTCCAAGTATTGTTCTAACAATATGGGCCAATTTGTATTAATTTTAGCTGTTATTAGTTAAAATTAATTGAACACTAACCAAGAGTGTAACATGTTCTCAAGAGCCTCTGAGCACTTGTATATAATTAAAAATATACTTTATTTAAAAAATCTAAGAGTGGAAAGCAAGTCTAATCCTGGAAGAGCAGCTCCCGTTGGGTTTAATTGGCCCATTTGGATAACACTTGCTTATGATGAGCACTGTTTGTCCAGCGGTCTGTGCACTAGTCGTAGTGTAGGCACAAATACTTGCTACTGGTCCTCAAGTCTCTATCCCATTTCTTCTTTCTGTTTTTACAGATTATTTACAATGAATGGGCATCTTTTGGGCGACTCAAAGGATTTGCAAGACAATCACTTTTATGTTGCTGCGGGACTGGAGACCTTCAAATATTTTCCTTACTGGAAGTCTCCAAGGGTGCCCAGTGAGGTCCAACAGTGAGCATGCTTTGTACCTTTCTTTGTTGAGTTTTGGGAAAAAATTAGCCTTTTCCCAAGTATCTCTCCCAAATAGGTCCAGTTCAGCTATTGGTTACTTTTCAGTAGTGAAATGTAATATTCTTATATATGATACAATTTTAGATTTTAAAAAATGAGGCGTGGGGGAACTGCTCTTGTATGATGTATTCACAAGGACAGCAAGATCTACACGGAGTCCACTGCTTTTCTCTGGGATACCAGGAGTCTTAGAGATCAAGAATTGAAATGTGCGATACAGCTTCAGAGCTAATGCTAGGCACAGTTAGGCCTGCCCATGATGCACCCAGCATGATACTTTGTTTTCTTAATTTGGCTTGCTTTCCCATATCTAAAATACACAATTTGTGCTGGATGTCCATCTCTCTTGGTGAAAAAAGCCATGATTTTTGTAGTAATCCTGAGCATGGCTAAGCGGGTGCCTCACTGTGTGTGTGTTTACGGACACAAAGCAGTGACCAGGAGGGAGCTGAAGGGTGCTGAGACGGGTAGTTCCGAAGCCCATCTGTGGGATTCTTCATCCTTAATTGTTTAGCCCTGACGGGTGTGTTTGAAATGCATTTTGTGTAGGACACGACTTGAGGGCTTACTAGGAATCTTCCCGGAGCTAGCTCTTCATCAGGTTTTCAATGATCATTATCTTGAGCAAAGAAAAAAAGCTGCCATTTTTCATCTAATTGTGGAGCAGGACAGATGGTTTGAACACCATGCAGGTGGCCAGCCTTCCTCTACCCTTTAGGTTTTGTGGCATGAGTGCCTTCTGCATTTGGAGAGCTTGAACCTCCACTGAGAGTGCAGCATCCGGGATGGCCTCCTCCCATTCTGGTTCACGTGCTGCTAGGGTTTGTACCTCAAGGCAGAGAAAGGCTCCTTTTGTCCTGTCTACCAGGGATGACCCCACAGCAGTTTGATATCCAGGCAGATGGTTAGATTAGAGTCCCACCTGCATGCCTGGCACACGTGGATGTTTCTGGATTTTATTGACTTAATTCGTGCTAACAGTCCTGATAGCACAGTGAGGAGGAACTCCATGGGGCTGTGGAGCTGAGTCATTCTTTCTACCTGCCCCCCACGTGTTTCCCGTCTCTTAAAGTGTTTTGCTTTTTGCCACTGTCTGTTCATTGGGAACCCCTGACTGAGTCTGACTGGCTTAAATATCTTTCCCCCTCGCCAAAGTTGTTGAGCTTAAGGGTCAACAGGAGGCCACATGCAGTCGCTCAGAGACTGAAGTTCGTGTGACTTACACAGAATAGACCAAGGAGATGCTCTGAATTTGCAGAGAATCCTGGGGTACGAGCATTTCCAAATTTGAGTAGCAGCTATTGGAGAAAGCCTCACTAAAGAGGAATTAGAAATGGGATGTGTGCACTTGCAAAAGCAGCCGGTGGACACGGACTCTTTGCTGTGGTAGAAGGAGGATGGGCCATCTGATCTCCAGGAAGGAAATTGAACAGATTCCTGGGGCATTTTCTGCTCCTGAGGCTGGGAAATCACTGTTGCCATGAGCCGTGTCCTCTGTGGACAGCTTGCTCCTCCTCGTGGTTACTTCCCTCCTAAGGACAAGGCTGCAGACTGCATTTTATAGAGACAACTGAGGGCCGGGCTTTACATTTCAAGTTCAACATCTTTTGTCTTGCAGAAGATATGCGAATGTTGAAAAAAACTCACAGAGAAAGAAAAAAGTAAGTAACTTTTTAAAACAAGTAAGTAACTTGTTTCTGATTCTGGCGTCTTCTGGCATTAAGAAGGGCACAATGCAGGGTGAGGGCCCGAGCTGTAAACAGTGCTTTCTGGGCCAGCATCAGTGCCAGGCTTATAAAGAAAAATCAGGTGCACTTCTGAGAATGGTGTGAATAGGAGAGGAAGTTTATGTTTGGAACACAGAGTCCAGAGCTGAGAGGCACACACAGGTATTTTATAATGCAACCCAGCAGGTGTGAAGACAAAAGTATATTTGAACTTTTATGGGACAGGGAGGAGAGTAACTGATTCAAGCTTGGCATGAGTGGCAGTGGGCTCTGGTGTGGGGGTGGGAGGAGGACATTCCAGGCAGATGTGACAGTAAGGCAGCAGTGGGAGATGCAGCTCACTGCATGTGCATGTGTGTGAATACATATGTGTGTGAATACATATGTGCATGTATGTACGGGTGCATGTGTGTATATAAATACATGTGTGTGGAGGCATGTGTGTGTATGGATGCATGTGTGTGTGAGTGCATATGAATACATATGTGTGAATGGATGCATATGTATGTGTACATGGATGCATGTGTATGTGTGGATGCATGTGTGTGCATATGAATACATGTGTGTATAGGTGCACGTGCATGTATAGATGCATATGTGTATATGCATGTGTTATAGGTGCATGTGTATGTGTGGATGCACATATGTATGTTTAAATACATAAGTGTTTATGGAGGCATGCATGTGTATGTATGAATGCATGTGTGTGTTTGGAGGCATATGTGCATGTGTGCATTGGAGTACATGTGTGTATGAATGCACATGAATGTGCATATGTTTGTGTAGGGACGTATATGTGTGTGCACATGACATGTGTGTATACATATGGATGCATATGTGTGTATGCCTGTGTTAATGGATGCATATGTGTTGGTATATAAATATGTATAGAGGTGTATGTGTATGGATGCATATGTGTGCATGTGTGCATGAGTACATATGTGTATGTATAGATGCATGTGTGTGTATGGATGCATGTGTGCATATGACTACATGCATGTGTACATATGGATGCATATGTGTGTGGATGTGTGTATGGATGCATATATGTTGTATGGATATGTTGCATGCATATGTTGTATGGATGTGTGTATGGATGCATATGTGTTGTATAAATGTTTGGAGGTGTGTGTATGGATGCATATGTGTGCATATGTGCGTGAGTACATATGTGTATGCATGGATGCATGTGTATGATGCATATGTGTGCACACGTGCATATGAATACATATGTGTGTATGTATTCACATGCACATGTGTGTATGGATGCATATGCACATGTACAGAGGCATATGTTTGTATGGATGCATACATGGGTATTCATATGGTTACATCTGTGTATATGGATGCACGTGTGTGTGTAGATACATTTATTTGTGTTTGTGGATGCCTATGTACCTATGTGTATGGATGCATATGTGTGTGTGTGTGTGCGTGCTGATCACACAGTTTGAAGTTGCAGCATAAAACATGAGGAAGGATGACAAGGAGGTATCAGGATCCAGGACTAGGAAGGTTTGCAGAAGCTGGGTCCTAGAGGGGCTTTACCAGTCCTTGTAACTGTTTATGTGATCCTCCTCTATCCCTGATCATCCTACGAAAACTGACTTTTAGTGGTTCTTTTGACATTAATATTTATTCGACAAAGCTGTTGAACGTGTACTCTTTCCAGTGCCTGTCTGCCTGGCTCATTGGCTGAATTCCCCTCCCTACTGTGACACGCTGGCTTTGAGGGTCCGTATTGTCCTTATCTGTTCTTTCCCAGAAACTAACAGGTAGCCCTGGGCTTTGCTTTTCTGCTGTTGCAGCTCAGATTTCATGATTGCCATTTTTAATCACTCTTCTGTAGATAGGTTTGACTTTCTCACCCGTCAGCCACGGTGTGCACCTGGCAAGTGTCCAGCCCTGGGTGAGCCCAGCCTGCACTTCCTCTGCACTTGCACTAATGCAGTGTGGTGTTGCTGGAAATAACGACACTGCTGACCCGAGTGTTCATGCCGAGTTCACGACCACGGTCCTTATCCAACTTCATTCACTGATTAAGCCTGATGTTTTAAAAAATGTTTTTCTGAATATGTTTTGCCAGATTTTATTGGAGATTTCTGCATGTCTGCTCATGAGTGAGCTTAGCCTGTCTGACTTCTTTCTCATGTTGTCCTTCTCTGGCTTTTATTGCCAACGCTTTTCTTCTGAATTGACTCTTGTTATTTTTTGTAGCTTCTTGAGTTGAATAATAGCCTTATTTATTTTGGATTTTCTTTCTCTAAGAAACACATTTTAATATTAGCTGTTTGTTGGATGGATGAATGAAGGATGATCATTGAGATTACAAAAATGATATGCCTTACTCTATTCATTGTCCCTTATATAAAGGTCTACACCTGTAAAGATGTGTTATCTTAAAACTCAGCATTAAATTTTTTGGCCTCATTTTGAAGAGTGGGTGTGTTTCTAAGAATGAAAAGAATTCCACACACAGGACTTCTCTGAGGCTAGAATTTATGATGATTCACAGCAACTTAGCCATTTATGATAAATGTGTTTGTTTCTTTACTTGCTTGCCCCAGGTTTTCCATTTCTAACTTGTTAAACCTCTTTTATCTATTTTCTGTGTGAATTGCCACAACATCTTTTTGGAAAAGAAGGTACAAAATTAAAAAAAATACAGGAGTGCTCTTTCATTAAGATATTGCCTTGTGGAATAGGGGGGCTGTTGGGACCCTTGGTGGTGTGCACATTCTAATGACATCAGCCAATCCAAGTATCAGCTTTCTTTAAAATTGGATGCTGGATTTTCTTTTAAATTTGCAAGCTTAAAAACAAGTATCTAGAATACAAAGCAGAAAGTCTTTCTTGATTCTTCGATGAACATATCGCAAACATGACCTGGAACTTGTGACCCACAGGATATCAGGCCTGAAAGGGGTACTTGTTGATTCATCTGGTCATCCATGAGGCCGTGGTGAGGTGTTGGCAGCCTGCTAAGCACACCCCGCTAGCACTAGAGACACATAGATGAGTGGAGTGTAAGTTTCCACGATTGGAGAAGGCAGAATGTCAATAAGCATGAGAGTAACCCTAGCAGACCTCATCCAGCCCTCCTGCTCAGTAAATTAAATCTTGGTAATTAAATCACCCCAGATTCCACCAGCACCAACCTCCCCACCTCCACAGTTGCAATAGATCATTGATACTTCTCCTGTAAGCTGTTTAACTTCCACATCTGCCTATGTCTCCCCATCAACACTGCCCAATGGAGTCAGGAAGAAACACTTGATACCCATGGGGAAAAGCATTGTGAGAGTGGGCAGGTAGGGGGTCAGGGGAGCTGGACTCCCCAGGAAGACATTTTTATTTGCAGGGATCCAGATTTCAGCAAGGGAGTAAAATGGACCATATCCACTTGATACTTAATACTACTGATGGAATAAATTGTATGGACTGGAAAGGGAGCAAGATAGACAGGGAGGGGCTGGTCCTGAGCAACTGTGACATTCCCAGTGAGGTGACAGGTAGAGCAGAGCAGTGGGACTTGAGAGATGCTGTGTATCATTGATTCTATGGAGGGCGTGTTCCCACATCCCAACATCCCTGGAACAGGTGCATCTGACGTCGACAGCGTCTCAGGACTCCTGTGGGCAGCCATGTTGCAGGTGCTGGTTGCTCATGGAGAAACTTGGCTGTAGCTGCTCATTTGTGTCTTCAATTGTGTACAGGGTTGATTCTGTACATGTTGGGTGTAAAATATCCTCAAAATGATTTTTCTATGAGATTTGAAACAAAAAGTTATTATATACGCCTAAAGGCCTAAATGTAGAACATCAAGTTGCAGATTTGCTATTGATTGAGTATATTCTTCTTCAATTCCATCTATTCTTGCAGAGTGACAACCAGCTATTGTGTAGGACCTGAGACAGGGAGGTTGACACAAAAAGTTGCAGCTGCCAGTGTCAGTGAACTACGTGGTATAACAAGCCATCCCCAAACCCAGGGACTTCAGGCAACAAGGGTTTATGATTTCTCTTAGTCCTGTGGGTTGGCTGCACAAGTCTTGGACGGGTTTCACCTTGGTTGCTTATGAGGCTGGATTCAGTGGACGTTTCACTAGATTGGGATGTCCAAGCTGGCCTCACCAACACATCTGGCAGCTAGTGCTGGTTGTTGAGCATTTTGGTTCTCTTCCATGTGGCCTCTCATCTTCCAGCAGGATGTCACAAACTAGCCTAGATTTCAGGAGGTGGAGAAATAGGTTCTCCCTCAACAGAGGAGCAGAGAGGAGCCCGTTCACTTTGCAAACCTGTGTGCAGCCTGAGAGGGGAGGGCTGTGTGGCCAGCAAGCAACCAGCCACACTCATGTGCGTTGTGTTCCTGAGAGTGGTGCAAAAGGATTGCCTCCCACTCTGCAGGGCAGAAAGCCCCAGCACCAGGATGTGCAGTTCAGGTGCCAGCGGCTTGGGGGCAATTCAGAGATGAGGGAGGGGCGTCCTTCCCACGCTGCATGCGAAGCACCGATGCCTTTGACTCGGAGTCAAAAAGTGGCTCAGAAGAGTCAGGCTCTGGATGTAAAATCTTGGAGGGTATTCAGGTGATTTATTTCTGTTATTTTCTCATTTTTCTTTATGTACAAGCATGCTATGTCATAAAAATGGGTGTCTAAATGGTTCTAGAAGGGCTTTTTCAGTAAGTAGGAAATAGAACTTCTAGGAAATTAAAGCACGGGGACATGCTTTAAATAGTACTTCCTTTCTTTCTCAGTGGTACATAAAATAGCTATGTGTTTTCAGTATGATTCACGGAATCTTGATTCAAAGAAGTGAGGTGGAGAATAACAGACAGTAATGTAGCACCTCGAGATGACTGTGGAGGACGTGGGAGAAGTCAAGGCCGACCTCAGGATTCCAGGGATGGTGGGAGGATGGTGCATTCAGGAGCCG